TGGAACAATTAAAATTTTTTTTGACAGTTATTCATACATTTTTTTTGAATTTTGTCACTTTTTCCCGTCTTTTTTTTCTTCCTTTTTTGGTATTTCGTGTAAATAGACAAAAAAAAAAATTACATTAGCTTCAATTACAACCTCCTTATATCTGTTAAATCTTTGTTGCACTTTGGTGAACACTATTCAATGGAATGTTATTTTTTTTTTGTTAGGTATACCACTGATTGAAACACATTGTTTCGGTTTTTTTTTCTTCCTTATTGCCATTTGTATACTGTTTGCTTTATTTTCTTTTTTTTTTGTTGGTATATTGGCAGAAAAAATAAATAAATAAATAAATAGTTTAAACATTAAAAATTTTTCTTTTTTTTTCGGTCTTTTTTTTCAAAAAAAAAAAATACAGGTTAACAAATAAATAATTGTTAAATGCTCTTTTTTACTGTATTTGCAGCTATCAATTTAAGTGCTGCTGCTGCTGTTATTTTTTTACCAATACTTCATTCCTTTTTGATTAAAAAAAATTTGTTATAATTGATCAAAAAAATATATATTTGATTGAAATAATGTTTGATAAATAAATAATATATTGAATAATATTTAATTTTTTTTTTTGTTTATTATTTGCGTTGTTTTTCATGCTAAATATCTTCAGAAATTAGTTAAGACACCAAATAAATATACAGTGATTGTAATTTCTAAAATATGTTTTTTTTTATCAATGATCACATAATCGGTAATTTTTTTTTCCAAAAGTTTTAAAAATGTTTTTTGTTTTTCTGCATCTTTCATCCAAACTTTTCTCAAATTTATCGCTTTATATCGTCTACAAATAACTGTTATTAACATTGAAACTTTTAACCTAAAAAAACACCGTTTAACCGATGTATAACAATGAACCAAAAATGGCACTGATATTTGTGAACTGTTAAACAAATCTGATAACTGAGATATTACATCAAAAAATTTTCTACTTCTTTCATTTCCTCTTTTTTTTGTAACTTTTGTGGTGATTATACAGTAATGAAAATAAGAACAACAACAAATCTGGTGGTTTAATGCAATAATTCTATATTATTGGATTCCTTATTTTTGAAAGTTACTGAAAAAAAGAAAAAATTAAGTGTAAGAATGATGAGTAATTTTTCTATCATAGTTGTCATTTTTTGTATTATTAGTACGAAAGAAATGTAACCGTGGCTTTAAGTTTAGGGTGGTGGAATAAGATATGGTAAATTTTTTTTCTACAAAATTAACACTTTTATTCCCACCTGTAAAAAAAAAAAACTCAAGAAACAATAGAAACTTCAGGTTACTTAAAACAATATTTATAGCTGTAATGTTTGAAACTTTTGATACTGCAATTTTAAAAGCATTAAAGTTTTTTTGCCTTTGTTTTTTTTTTTAAAACTTTTAACGACAAATAAACTTTTTATAATTGAGCAATTTTTGTAAACAATTAAGTTTAGGTTACTTCTAATAAATCAGATGAATAAAGTGCTTAATAAATGCCTGTATTTAGTAGTCAAAAATTATAAATAAAATTTCAAACTATTTGTGTGTTATCGTCTGAATTTTGATAACATTAATCAACTGCTTATTTCATTGAACTATTCTGATCAACAAGCTTTGTTATTTTGTCAGTTGCAGTTTTATTTTTTAGTATAGAGAATTTTAAGTTCGTGCTTTCTGAACAGTTCAGGTTTCTTAGCTTCTAAAATATCTGTGTCCCAAAAGTGTTATGTTTTCTACATGAATGCCTTAATATTTCTCTGTTTTATAATTATCGGTTGGCTAAAATAATGGTGAATTAAATAACAGCTTATGAAATAGTGGAAAATAACTTTTTTTTCAGTTCAATATTAGATTCCAATCTGAACACAACTGAAATGTACAGCTTTTTATTTATATTCATAACCATTGCTCTAACTACCAAATCAGATTCAAATTTCTTAACAGGTAATGCTTATGATTAGTTCAGTGAAACACTGATATTAGATAATTACAGTTTGATAGCCTCTTCTTGAAGATCTTAGAAAATGTTTCAAAGTTGCATATTTGTTATCTAGCTCTTCCAAATGTGTGACATCTATGTTTATACTCTAATTCTTTATTATTTTGAAATTTTTATGTTAATTTGTCCTGAAAACCTAAAGTTTTTCGATTTTTCTACCTCAGTTTTTTCAAATAATGTCAAACTTGAAAGAAAAAAAAGAGCTGTTGTCTGATTAAAATTGTTAAAATAAATTGCTAAATTGAGTGTTTCATGAAAAACAAACAAACATCAATTATATCTTTCCCACATTTTTTACGCACAGATGAAAGCAAATTTGAACAATGGTAATTCTGATAGAAAAAGTAAATTATATTTAGAACTGTAGTTTTTAAATTAAACAAAAGGAAAATTATGAAAGATTCTTGCAGGAAGCATACCACCTCAACAGTTAGCAACTGAAAAAATCGGTTCTGTACCGTTTCAGGTAAGGTGGTTCTTTTCTAATGTAGATTTTCTTTTTTGGTTAAAGGTAAATCAGAATTCTCAAATGCAAGGAATATACAGAAGAATTCAACAAGCATATGGTATTCAATTTAACATTACAGAACTATAGAGATAACGAAAGTGATGAAGAAAAAAATTCTGCGCCTATCTACAATAACCGTATAACGCTTACAATGTCTTCTCGAAACAACAAATTGGTGTCTAAAAATGATACTTCAAAACAGTTGTTTACTGCAGAAAACGACAGCAGTAAAATATCCACATCAACTTCAGTCGTTGTTAATGAGCATTCGACCGTAAACGTTACTACGAGAAAAGATATATCAACCGAAGCAACCACAATTGGAGACGTTTCCGGAGAACCGTCTGTAAAGAACGCCGGTTTACCGTCAACTGATAATCCTATAATTTCACTGCTGCAGAACTCGACAGACGACGATAATAATCAAATTTACAATTCAACCGTTCACAGATCAAAAAATAACGAAACAGATAGCAGTGAAGAAGATAAATTACTGCTTCAAACAGATCATATAGCTCATGATAATAGTTATGATCAAAAGATAAAAAATCGTCACCCGGAAAAAATAAAACATGAAGAACTGATTAAACTGGATTATCTACACTACAACAAGCTAACTCCAGATTACTTTTTTCTGAAAAATTACTCAAAAAATTGGTTGTTGTTTTTCGGCAATCTCTCGACAATAAAGGTGGCAACAGATAACTTAAATAAAAAAATAAATAATTGTAGAGAAGAAGGTATTGAAGCAAACGATCTAGATAGAATTGGTGAAAAATCACAGATATTATCTGAAAAACAACGCTTCGTTAACGGTAGCGGCAAATTAATTCGAACTTTCTATAAAGTCCTTGGAGAAGCTAACGCAGCAAAAACAAAAGAACCATTTGCAAACAAGAAAACTCGTATTATCAAACTTAATACCATTGTCAGTCCAGAAAATTCTGAGGATTATTTCTGGGTTAATTCAACTGGCTCAGAACTTCTGGCTTCTGAAATTAGTGACGATAAGCTCGGAAATGGAACTTCTTTAGAAACTGACTATGAAAACAAAACAGGACCTGTAAAAACTGGTGGTGTTTCAACGCCAGTAAACTACAATGTTGGTGAAAACGAGCAGAAAGTCGCATTTGAAACAGCCAACAAATTTTCTGCAAGTTCATCTGATTCGACTCTAGATGTTAAAATTCTGAATGAGACAAAAGACGGCAGTAACGAGGAAAACTTCAAGAAATATGAGAACTATTCAGTTGCAGTCGAAATTTCCGTCAACTTCACCACTCCATTAACAACAGCTACAACATATCCGTCACCAAAAAATCCAGCTTCGAAGGTGACAAATTATAACAGAAGAAATATGACAAAAGATGAGGAAGAAACAAAAGTAGTGAAGCAAAACAAAAATTACGATATCAATCTCGTTTCTCTAATTGAGGAAGAGAATTCTCCATTTGAAGCAGTAACAGAAGCTAAACTACCAGATGCATCTCATGAACAAACTGAAGTTGATTCTATACAGTCTACAACTGCAGACACTATAATTTCGCATACCATCACTGATGAAGTTGAAACGACTACTAACAGTGAGGTGCGCTACGTCGCTGAAGCAAAAAATGGCATCGAAGAATTTAACAACAATAAGTCTGACGAACAACAGTTATTGAAATCCAATCCAGAGAGTAATGATATGGTATCGAAAGACCAACATGAAGGAAGCGGTGAAGAATCGTTATTGGTAACTATCAGTGAAAATGAAACTAGGAATGATTTGGGTTCCGGCGAACTGTATTCAAGCAGTGAAGAAAACGGCGGCTATACAGGCAAAACTGTGATGGAAATAGATTCAACTGCAATGCCCGGCAAAGAGTTACTGCTAATGAAAACACGTATAGAGGGTACTGTTAATACAGTGATGTTCAATAAGCTGAACACTACTGAAAATACTTTGAACAACGACCAATCTTCAAATGTTAAAAGAACAAAAAACGACACTGATGATTTGGCTAAATCTACATCAGATAAAGGTCGGTGATCAATCAAAAGCAATAGTTTTTTAGGAATTGTAAATTGTAAGGCTGATTCAAACACTGTTGTTTCAATCAGTCACATCTTTAGAAACTCAAGTTCTATTGAAATAATTTTTATAAACCAGAAAATAGCTTGAAAGCTAAACTTTTTTTTAAAGACATTGCTGCAATTTCGGTAAACAAATTAAACTGGTGCGTAACTCTCTGCTTATGCTCCATTCTTTTAACGACTAATATCTGATAGCCTTAATTAAACTATTATTTTAAGTGTGCTTAGGTTTAGCAAGTTCTCCTACAAATCTCGTTTCTCTAAAAATTTGAATAGCTTTTTGTTTTTTTTTAGAGAACCAAACGACTGCGCTTGACACTTACGGTCAGAAACGTGGTAAGTCTTCTACAGTTACTGGTATTTGTAAAGGACATCGTTATACTATTGCTGGATGTACAGAAAAATAATGTTTACAGAATTAATTCCTTTGACAACTTTTTAGCACTTCACGTGCAATTAATTAGTGTTTAGACTTGAAACTTTATAGCCATAAATATAGTAGCAATACAGTAAAAAAATAAGAAAAATTTCTCTGTTTATTTTTTCTTTTTATATAAATGCAGATAAAAAAAAACGAATTATTTGAAATGCCGTCGTTGAAATGAAATTATTCAATTTCAGAATTCTCCAAAATACCACTGAAAGTGGTTCGCGGTAATACCAAAAGAGAATGTACGTCTAGAATTTGTTTCTTAAAATTTTGTCAACTTCAAAATTTTATTTAAATAGTACAACTTAGCATTTTTTCTTTTTTTGGTTTTTATGTTTGATAATATAATTACTACGAAGAAGAAAAAAGAGAGGAAGAGGAAAGAATTCAATTTTTTCAATAAATATATTGAAAAAAAATTTCTTTTCCGTTGTCTAAACAATAGGAATTGTCGGCTTTTTTTTTTCAGGGCATCCGTTTCGTATGAACTGTGACATCGAAGAAGACGATAAAGGTGAACTGTGTTTGGATTGGGCACGTTCCGGTTTATGTCTTAACCATCGTCCAACTATGTTCCTGTTTTGTCGACGAACCTGCCTTTGTATTGGTCCTCCAAATTCTTAAGTGCAAAAAAAATGAAATAAAATAACACTTAATTCTTCTACTTCTTTTAAGTTGATAATTAACGTGTGACAGAAACAAAAACAGCAAAAAAGTATAAAAATTAAACCAATTGGTCTTCTTTTTCCTGGTTAAGCAAACAAACCACTGAAATTGCATTTTAACACTTTAAGACAATTTGCATAAAACACTCACTTCTTCTTCATTTGCTTTTATATAATCAAAATTGTTGCGGCAAACTATTTGCTAAATGTTCAAATTTCCTTTTTCTTTACAACGATATCACTGTGATTTAGCTACATGAATAAATATGTAAAATTTTACACATTTTTTGCTGTCAAATTGTGTCGTCATCATCTAACCAGAAATATAATTATCATCTTCACCGCTATGTAAATTACTTAATTTATACTTTGTGCTGTTGTTTAAGTTTAGTTTCATCTCTGCTTTTTTTCCTCATCCTCTTTTTTTTCATTTTCTTTTTCTTTTCGTTGTTAATTTTCTACAGAACTTGAAATTGAATTATAGAATTAAACCTTTTATCCTTGATTACTCAGTTTTTTGTGTGTGTCTATTTAATTTATTAATGTACGGTTGTCTAAATTGTTGATGGAACATTTGAAACGTATTATTTAGATGGAAGAAAAGGTTTAAGTGTCAACAAATATTTGACGCCTCATTTTTAATATTAAACTTTCTTGTTTAAAGAAAAAACTGTCTTTTTTCTTTCAATTATCTAATGAACTATGTAGAAAAAAAAATTTTCTTTTTTTTGTTCGCTAAGCTACTGATCAGTTTCTTTTTTCTACTGTTTGCTGTTTTCACGTAAACAGATTGCTAAGTGATGTTGTATGCTATCAGTTTGGGTACAAAACACATTACATATTTTGTAAAAATAGATTTAACTTTTTTTAACGACAATAAATTTTTCAACAGTTTTTTTCCGCATCAAATATGCCTTCCGAAACTATGTTTCTTAAGAACTACTGGTGAGCTGTCGTTTCTCGGCATCAGCATTCGGATAACATTACCGACCCCAGTCGGCAATAAAACCGATGCATGGACATACCGCACAAAATCCGATTCCCATTCCACCTTCACGTCTCTCTCTAATTAGACTCCGAAGGCGGGACAGTAAAACTTAAAGAAAGCAAAACACTGACATCTACTGAACATTATTTAAACTTTCCGAAAATTAACAATTAAAACATTCTTTTCTGAAATTTTTTTTTTGCTTTAATTTTTGATAATGTCAATCGATGTCTAAAGAATCACAGATAGTAAAGCAGTAAAAAATTGACAAAAAAAAAGAAAAATGAAGAAAGGAATATTAAACAGTGGGATCTGAAAATTATTTATATGCTTTATAAAGACTGTGTTATTTCAGCGTATCATCGCCGAACATATTAACAAAAAATTACATTAGAATTATTTATTCGGTGATAAAACAAAAAAAAACTAAAAACAAGCAGAAAAAAAAAACAAAACGAAAAAAAATTACAATGAAAAATCAGGTCGAATAAACTGAAAAATAGGTGATAATGACGATAGTTGTGATTTTGTTGGTTACGAAAATCAGTAGATTCAATGCTCCTGTTCAAGACATTTCTTTTTTACTTACTTTTAGGTCAGTTTTGCTTTTTTCTCCTCTTTTTCAAAGTACCTTAATGTTGTCAAATGTTTTCTTTTTACTTTTTTTCTTTTCTTGCTCTTTATTTCTTCCCTTGAAAAATTTTCTTGACAAGTAAACATATCTGTACTTTCTATCCAGAATTAAAATTTTGTCTGAAAAAAGTCAAAAAATGTGTTTGGCTCAGAAGTGTATAGATCTGTTTAATGAAAAAAAAAGAAAAAAAATGAATTGCTCCAACCTTTCTTTCTTCCACAGTAAAATTTTTATTTTTTAGGTACTTTACTGCACAAAATCACCATCAGTGCTCAGGTAATTATCTGTATCGGTAAAAATAGTTAGGACATACAATCTTTTTTTTTCTACTTTCCTTTATTTTCTACCGTTTTGGTTTCAGTTGGTACAAAATTCTATGGTGTAGAAGATTTTCAACACTTTATCTAAAAGCAATAAATTTTGCTTGCTTTTATTAATACACTACACTTCAGACTGTGTTAAAGGTTTATGCATTTTAGATTAAACTGAAAGAAGTAACATTGCCGGCGCCATCCTATTCACGAAAGTTGTTGTTCTTTGTTTCAGTATATAACAATTTCGTAACCGCTATGTAGTACATTTCTCAGTTTTTTACTGTAGTTACACTTACAGCGCAGATTATTAAGCCATTATTAAGCCTTAGAATTGTCACTTTTTTACGTTAACTTTTAGGGACACTGTAACACCGCTGAATTATCCGCGAGCCCATGTTCTTCACACAATATCGACAAACGAGATACGAAGAAAGCCAGAAAGTAGATCACTGAAGTCGCATTTAACTGGTACTCCATCAGTAC